TGACAGAGCCAGGACAAGCAGCTCACTCCCAACCTGAGCATCTGCTCCACACAGATCCACCTACAAGGATGGATCCCACCCTTTGTTTTGGGAAAGCAATGTGTTGTTGTCAACTTCATGTTTTACAGGGATCAGCATCTTTTTAAGGAAGCAGAAAGTCTAATTTAGTCTTAATGGCCTTAAGGTGAAGGAGGGTGGGTTTAGATGGGATATTGGGAAGGAGTTCCTCCCTGTGAGGGGCTGGGATGGAATTCCTAGAGAAGCTGTGGCTGCCCCATCCCTGGAAGTGTCCAAAGCCAGGTTGGACGGGGCTTGGAGCAACCTGGTCTGGTGGAAGGTGTCCCTACCCATGGAATTGGATGGGCTTTGAGCTCCCTTCCCACCCAGCTCATTCCATGATTCCCTGATCTCTGGGGTGAGCAGGACCTGGCAGCAGCTGCTCTCCCCAAATACCTACATGTGTGGCGGGGTTTGAAGCGCCAGTGCTGGGGGCCAGCCCACATGGACAGAGTGCGGGGACTGAAGTAGGAATATTCCCCTGGATTCAAGGAGAGGTGAAGGCACATGGTCTCAGCATCTCCCTCTCCAAAAAGAGCCCCGTCAGTCCTGGAAAGAGCATATGTGCACTCAGTGAAACCATTCCTTTGGCACTCCTGAGGGCATTGAATACCCAGGGCAGCTCTGGACAGATGTTCCCGTTCACTGTGCCAGCAGGGAAGGACTCCTGGACTTTAACCAGAGCGGGGGGTGTTGCAATGTCTTAAATCTGTGAGGCTGCTGCAAAAAAGAGGTGGATTTGCCAAAGATCCCCTTGGAAGGCAGAGATATTCCCATAACACATCCCTGGATTTACCCAGAACTGGAGGAGGAAGCAGGGAACAAAAGACTCCCCAGAGAGCTGCCAAAAGTTGCGAGTTGCCATCAAAGCAAAGCTATGGATTTTCAGTGAGCACTCACCTCTTGCTCTGGTTCTGGCTGATTGTTCCAAAGGAGTTGATGTTATCTGTGATATCCCCAAGCTTTTTTGCTGCTCTGCTCCCAGGGGAATCCGAGTGGAAGTCATCCTCTGGCAAGGGGGGAGCACAGCCCTCCCCATCACTCTCCACCTCCGCGTTGGGGTCAAACACGTGCTCGCTCTTCTTAAATTTATCCAGCAGGGCCAACACTGACTGAGAGAAGAAGGAACTCAGGAAGGTATTTGAAGCTGAGGAAGCTTCAGTTTAATGGCCTTGAGCTGAAGGAGGGTGGATTTAGACAGGATATTGGGAAGGGATTCTTCCCTGGGAGGGTGGTGAGGAGCAGGGATGGAATTCCCAGAGAAGTTGTGGCTGCCCCATCCCTAGGAGTGTCCAAGGCCAGGTTGGACAGGGATGGAGCAACCTGATCTAGTGAAAGGTGTCCCTGCCCATGGCAGGAGTTGGGACTGGATGGGCTTTAAGGTCCCTTCCAACCCAAACCAGTCTGGGATTCTATGATTCCATGAAAAAGCAGGATATCAGCAGCCCTGCAGCACAACCTCCCCCTGTGTATCTCGGAGGTGAGAACTCAGGTATCTCACCTGGCCCAGTTATCCCACCCAGCACAAAGCCATCCAACCTACCTCCTCGTGGGACTCCTCATCCCACTTTGTGAACTGGAAACCAGCCAGGGAAGAGCAGATGGGACGTTTCTCAACACACTGAACCAGCAGGGCTGGAGACAGGGAGGGCAATGGGGAGGGATTAGACTCAGGATCCAAAACCAGCAGCTAAAACTAGTGCCAGGCATGATTTCTTAATTAATTAATCTTAAAGTCACATATGTGGGCAGCTCTTCTTCTATGCAGAGCTCATTTATAAGGGATAATTCAGTTCCCACCCTAACTCCAGGGTGGGCATAACTCTGGGAATCTTGTCAGAGCAGCAGGGGCTGGTCCAAAATCCAGGCTCAACACACTCTGAGAAGGTCAGTCCTTAACCTGGAGCACTAATCCCATGTCCTGCAAAGCTCAGACCAACATCTGCTGTGCCAGATGTGCCAGAGGTTGGGTGACAGGTCAAGTTCTAAAACCTACAAAGGTCATGGTTTTCCAGCAGCTGCTCCCAACTGGGCCAGGATCAGAGCACTGGTGCCCCAGGACAGCCAAGCAGTGACCAAAGCACAGCTCAAGGCAGCTGAGACTAAAATGAACTCGCTTGGGAGATGAAAAGCATGGAAAGGTCTGGATGGGCCCAACACTCACACTTTAAACCCATCATTTTCACGGGATCTGAGTTTGGCAGCGAGAGAGTCTCCGAGGAAGGGAGAGGAACAATCCTGGACTCAAACTGGAGCTCGCTGTGGAAGTTCTGGGAGCGCAGACGAGTGAGGAAAATCCCAGCAGTGCTGCATTCATCGAAGGATGCTGCTGCTTTCTGGAACATGGGATCCACCTGCAGGTGTGGAGGGAAGTGGAGAATGACCCCAAACATCTCCTCCCCATCCCTGGAAGTGTCCAAGGTCAGGTAGGACAGGGTTTGGAGCAACCTGGGATAGTGGAAGGTGTCCCTACCCATGGCAGGGGGTGGAATTGGTTGATCTTTAAGATCCCTTCCCACCCAAACCGTCCCATAATTCATGATCTTTTTCAGTAAGGAAAGAGCCCTCCCAGCTCCCTTTCAGACCTGACTGGACACAACTCTGCTGTAGCAGCACAATCCAGACATGTACGTGACTGTCAGAGCCCAAGAGAGGAATGAACAAGAACAAAAACAGAGATGAGGAAGATGAGGTGACAACCCCCTTCCTCCCACACTCAGCTGCTCCAGCAGCCTCCCCCAAAACCCACCTTCCACCTGCGATTGGCCTCTGACACATTGATGTTGTTCAAATTCTGCTCGATGGTTTTGAAGGACTGTTTTTTCTTTGGCTGAACTTTCTTGACAGCCTCAGGAGCTGAACTGTCTTCTGAAAGGGAAAGAAGAACAAATGACACTTAAAACACTTGCTAAAATACCCCAAGGAGGGATAGAATTGAACTTTGAGTTCAATTTGTACAACAAATACACAATGAAGTTGCTCAGTCAGGGATTTATTAGCATGAACCACCAATGTTTCACTGCCTGGATGCTGTTTTGCTTTTTATCAACTCTATTTGGTCACAAATTGCCTCTATTTGGCCACAAATTGACTCTATTTGGCACATTTATTTCAAAGCAAAGGACAGCAAAGCAGGAGGCCCTTCATTGTTACTGGTTCAGATCAGACCAACTGCAGTTTGTGTCTAAATATAAATCCCTGGACTAAATCACTGAATTCAGGACTGAGCAACAGATGTAGATTCTCATCCCAACCCTCCCTAAACAAACCCCCGGGGAAATCAATTTGAGACATCCCAGACCTTGAAAAATTAATTCTAAAGCGCCTCGAAATTCCCTGAGCGCTGAGGTTCCTTTTGTTCCCAGGTGGAAAAGCAGCAGCTTAACAGGAAAATGAGGGAATTGCCCACCTTCCCCTGGGCTGTCCAGGCCCTTGGCAGGTGCTGAGTCCTTGCCCAAGCCCCCAAGGACTTTGTAGGTGTCTGCATAGACCGTGTCCACACGCACAGAGTAGATCTTGGCACTGGCATCCAACGTTCCAGCTGCGACCTGACAGCAGGGACAGGGAATTCTCAGTTGGAAAGGGAAAAGTCTCATCTATAAGATACAAGACTGAGCTCCTGAATGCTCTGCATCACAAGAAAAACTGTGAACAGCTGGAAAAGGATTTATTCTAAAAGCTAATGGCCCCCCAGCAGGAGCCAGGGTGTGTTTTCCCCACAGTTTGCTTCATCTTTTGGGATCACACAGAAAAATGCTTAAAAAGTTGCCAAGATTAAGCAATGGGGAGAAGCAAAACTCTCTCCTCCACTTCCCCTTCATGCCTTTTTTAGGGTCACCCCATTGGTATCGTTCTATTTTCCCAGATTATGAACTCCAGAGGTGAAGAAACAGGAGATACCAAGTTCCTTTTTTGATCACAGACTCCCCCCTGGAAGGTGGAAAATCCCTCAGTAAAATCCTGTGCAGCCTTTCCCAGCCTTTCTTCATCCCATCAAACACAACCAGCTCGTTTAGGGGTTCCTTGAGGCCACATCAAAAGTTCAGCCATTCATTCCTTCATCCAAGAACCCAGTTTTCCCTCTCAGCATCAGTCAACTATTAAAGTTTGTCTTTTCCTTGGCAAGTTCTTATTCTGATCCATTCCTAGATCAAAATCAGACCAGCACTAACTTCCTTTCTTTTCCAGCCTTATTTTTTTCCTGGTTTTAACACTCGATATTAACAAACCTTACTTTTAAGCAAGATTTCCTTTAGAAGGACCGTAACTGAGAGAGTTCAGACATTAATTTCTGTGGTACAAAAGGATTATTCACAGCCTTAAACTCCTGCAACAAGTGAATGTGCTGCCTCTCCCAGGTATTTTTGGTGGCAGTAACAGGTTCAGCTACCTGAGCATTATTTGAGGGTTGATATTAGCTGGGTTAAATCCAGATGGAAATAAAGCACCGGATGGAAATAAACTCCTCTCACCTTGAAGCTGGTGAGCTCAGAGTTCTTCTGCTTCAGGATCTCGGTCATGTAGTCGATGAGATGTAAACCAAAGGCGTTTCTTGAGGTGATTTTCTGGAACAAAGCATAGCTTGGGACCAATCCCTAGGCCAAGGACACCCCTCACCCTGCCTGGACCCCCAGCTCAGGGGGGGATTTAGGGCAGGGCCAAGGGGACATGGGCTGTAAGGTGTGTTAGTGATGGGAGGGCACCAACAGGCCCATGGTTGGCCCAGGGAAGAGGAATAGGAGCTTTTTGGTTTTCTTAACTTTTGTAGATTTTAGAAGTAGCTGTGTAGTGAATGTAGATTTTAATGTAGCTGTAGTTAGCTCACCCTTTAGCACAGCAGTTTACACATTTACTCAACCCTGTTTCCCCATTCCATATCAATCCCTCTGAATTCTGTCAGCGTGTTTAGACTTCCCTCAAGGTAGGCCTTCATTCTGTTTAAGAACATTTGCACCCTGGCTTGAACAAGATACCCCACAGACACAACAACCTTCAAGCCCAGAACTTTGGAGGAGCTCCAAGGACTGGATGTGCTTTGAGGAAAATGAAGACGAGGAATAGGGGGTCCCAGAGCCCCCTGCCTCAATTTCCAGAGGGGTGTGCTGGGAGGAGGATCTGGGGAGTGGATAGATCTGGGATTGGTTGGGATAATGCCTTAAATTTTGGAACCCTGTGGACATGGCAGGCATGTCATGTGTATTCCCTGGGCCTCAGGCCTGAAATTAAAGGACCTACTCTCTTTATCTTGTCTTATCCACTAAATTGCCTGAAGTCCTTTTTTTCTGCGGTCTCTTAAGGCAACACATGAATAACCATGCAAGGCTCAAGGCTTTTAAATCCCCCTCCAACCTCGCAGCCAGGGGGGTTTAACCTCCAGTGTGAGTATTTAGGGACCGGTTCCGATGCCCGGGACTCACGTTTTCCGTGGAGAGGCGGATGCAGGTGCTGTAGTGCTCCGAGATCTGCACGTTGCTCCACTGAGGGAGCTGCCAGCCCTCCTGCCTGCGGGACACACGGAGGGGTCACGGGGCTCAGAATCACAGCATCACTGAGGTTGGAAAAGATCTCTGAGATCATCAAGTCCAACCTGTGACCCAACAGCACCTTGTCACCCAGACCACGGCACCGAGTGCCACATCCAGTGTCTTCTTAAACACCTCCAGGGACGGCGACTCCACCACATCCCTGGGCAGCCCATTCCAGTGTCTGATCACTCCCTCTGTAAAGAATTTCTTCCTAATGTCCAACCTAAACCTGCCCTGGCGCAGCTTGAGACTGTGCCCTCTTGTCCTGGGAGAAGAATCTGACCCCCCCGCGGCTCCACCCTCCTGTCAGGCAGCACCGACCGTACCTGGGCGCGGGGGAGCCGAGGTCCAACGAGGAGTCGGCGGCCCTGGAGCGCCGGCGCTGCCGCCGCTCGCGCTCATCGTCGTTGCCGGGGCACTCGGCCAGCACGGGGGTGCCGGCGCTGCCCAGGGCCCGCGGGGCCGGAGAGGCTGCGGCGGCGCAGCGCGGGGTGCGGGCGATCATCGCTCTCGGAGCGGGATCGGAGCGGGTCCGGACCGGGATCGAACCGAGGACCGAACCCCAGTCCCAGCGGCATCGAACCGCGACCGCCCCGGGGCCGCGCCGCGCCGCGATCAAACGCGACCCTGTGCCCCGCCCACCGCCATGGCCGCGCCTACCCTCCCCGCGCGCGCACCCCCGGGGGCCAATCAGCGCGCAGTCCGCCCCGCCCCGTCGGCCAATCAGCGCGTGGTCCGCCCCGCTGTTTGAACGGCGGCGCGCGCTGCGCGTGCGATAACGGCCGGGGATGGGGGGAGAGTGGGGGGTGGGGAATGCGCTCCGAGGGACCCCCTGGGTGGGACCTCCGGGTAGGATCACCCTGATTTTCCGGTCCTGGGTTGGGGTATGAGGGGTGTCACCCAACGCCGGTGGTGTCCCGGCACCGCCCGCACCGGCAAAGGCCGCCTGGGAAGAGGAGGAAGAGGAGGAAGAGTGGCAGCCAGAGCTGCTCCACTTACCACAGAATCCCAGAATCCCTGAGGTTGGAAAAGAGCTCTGGGATCTTCGAGTCCAACCTGTGACAGATCCTCACCTTGTCACCCAGACCAGAGCACTGAGTGCCACCTCCAATCGTTCCCTGGACACCTCCAGGGATGGGGACTCCACCACTCCCCTGGGCAGTCCCTTCCAATGCCTGACCACCCTTTCCAGAAAGAAATTCCTCCAGATGTCTATCTCATGAAGCCATCTCGTGTGTTCACGGGAGGTTGGGACGCTGGCACAGGTTGCCCAGAGAAGCTGTGGCTGCCCCTGGACCGCTGGCAGCATCCAAGGCCAGGCTGGATGGGGCTTGGAGCAACCTGGGATGATGGAAGGTGTCTCTGCCCATGGCAGGGGGTGGGACTGGATGGGCTTTCAAGATCCCTTCCAACCCAAACCATTCCACGATTCCATGACTCTGGGGAGCCCCACAGCACCAGCACACAGCTCCCAATTCACTCTGGCACTCGGGAATAATTTGGGAAGGAATTGCCACATCCAGGGGCCTCAGCAGTGACAAGGACCACAGTGACATCACACACACACCCCAATGTTTATTCCAAGACACCAGTTACAGCTCCAGGGAGAGGCCAAAAAATTCCATCCTGATCAGGCAAAAATGAGGCAAAACACCAGGAAAACTCTCCTTCCACACCACAACCCCCCATTGGGCACTTGGAAAACAGTTCCCACTGCCCCCAGTGACCTGAAAAACCACCAGCCACGGGTGTCCTCCCCTGCCCCAGGTACCACTGAGACCCCCATGGGGATCTGTCCTGGGTGGGAATGTCCTGGAAAACCACAGGGTTGGGCTTGGATCCCCTGGATCCTGGTGAGGAGGGAGCTGCCATCTTCGTATTCCCAGAGCCAGAGTCCCCACTGATTCAGCATTTCCCTCTCCTGGGTCTCTCTGGGGACCATTGGGTGTCCAGGGGTGAGGGACCCTCCAGAGAAATCCCTGCCCAAAACAGTCACTGAGGTAGGAACAACCCTGACTCCCTGCAGGCAGCAGGAGCTCTGGCTCAGGAATCACCTCCAGAGGCTTAGGAATCAATTCCAGAAGCTTGGGAATCCCCTCCTGGAGGGTTCCAGGATGCAGTGAGTCCCGGAGCCAGGACACGACATGCAGGAGGCAGCGGGAATGCGGCAGGAGATGTGGGGAGGGGGTTGCAGCCACGCAGCTTCCCAATTGATCCCGCTGGGAAAACTGCTGGAGAACCACCAGCATCTGGCTCCAAACACCAAAACTCAGCACCCAAAGGGGCAGGTCGGGGGTTCCAACAAGGCAAAGCAGGCTGCTCTGGGAAGCAGCCAGAGTGGGATGAAGAGCTTGGAAAGTCTCTCCTGGCACTGACATCACTTGGGATGAGGGGCTCCAGCAGGCATCCAGTGAGGACTGACATGCTCCCATGGCTCCTGGGGTGTCACAGCCCCTGTGCTGGGGCTCCTTGAACTCCCCCTTCCGGAGCCATTCCCAGCAAAGTCCCCCTCAGGACTCAGCTCCCCCTCCATGGCACATCCACTCCCACTGGGATCCGTGCAGCAGCTCTGGAGCCCTCAGGCAAACAGTGGCTGCTCCCGCTGGGGTTTCGTGGTCTCCACCACGAGGGTCTGTCCATCAGGCCAGTCTGGGATGGGTGGGAGTTGGGATGTGGCCGGCAAAGCCTAGGAATCCCGGGGGGTTCCCAGGTCAGTAGAAATGTTTCCGGCTCTGGTCCTGCCACTTGTTGTAGACAATGATGCCGATGACGATGGCAAAGACGAGGGCCACCAGCGAGAAGAACACGATGAGGAACAGGGCCAGGCCACTCATGGGCTCCAGAGGTGCTTCCACTGGGAGAGGAGGGAGGGAAAACCCCATGAGACCTCAGAGAGCCCCAAAACTAGCAGAGATTTCCCCGCTACAGAGGTTTTCACCATCCCACACCCCTAGGGGTTCAGCTCCCCAAAGCTTTTGGGCCCTGAGACCCTGGGGCAAACTAGGAACTCATGGTGGAATTTCAGGATGGGACATGACCCACCTCCCTCCCATCCCAGACTGGTGGATGGACCCTATCAGTGGAGACCCCGAAAATCAAAGTTCCTTTTTCCTCCCCAGCTCCAAGTGTCCCCAAATCCCTCCTCGTCCCACCTTCCCCATCGTGAAGCCAGAGGTTCCCACTCACTTCCAGGCAGTTTCAGGTTGTCCACAACAGGCAGGAACACCTCCCTGTCCCGCTTTTCCTCCTCCGGCGTTCGCTCCACTGTGAGCTGGTACAGCTTCAGCGAGATGATGTCATGGTTGTCTGGAAGGAGAGGGAAAACTGAGGTGTCCTGAGGGATCACCCATTCCCAAAGCTCTGGCCAGGGGCTGGAATGCCATGGAAAACTCACAGAAGGGAAAGTTCCTCAAAGCAGAGAAAGCTCTGCAGAGCAGGGAAAGCTCCCCAAAGAAGGGAAAGGCTCTCAAATGCTTCCATAAGGCCCTGCAGCTCCCCAGATCTGCCACAGCCTTTAGGGAATCCCACCTGGACTGCCCTGGCAGTACCTGACAGGTCCCCGGTGACCGAGGACGTCCCAAAGTAGTACCCTCGGGGCAGGTGCACGCCCGGCACGTCGATGCAGTCCCTCCACTCGTGCTTCCCATCGATGTCGATCAATACCTGTGGGACAAACACCTCCCTGAGCACCATGGGGACCCCCTGGCTACCCCCTGGGGTGGGTGATGCCTTCAAATCTATATTCTATAAGTTTTGGTGTAGCTTGTTGGTGCCTTCGAACAAGAATTCTACAAACACTGTTTTTACATTCTTTGTTAAGAATTTCAACAGACGAGGGTTTTTAATGAGGAGGAGAGTTCTCTGTCTGTAAAAATGTGCTGAGAAAGACACATAACACTTAATATAAGCAGTCAAAGCTATTTAGAAGCCTTGAAATCCTTCCAGAAGGCTGATACTGTGCCAAAGGAGATAAGGAAGTGGAAGATCAAGGGTCTTTGATACCTCCGACTCAAACCTGGGAGGTGTGTCAGGGGTGGAGCAAAGATGGTACTATGAGAGGGATGGTTTTGGAAGTGGGTCTAACAGTATTAGGTAATGCTTTAAATTATTAATCAGGTAACTAAATAATAAATTAACTAAAACAACTAACTAAATAAACTAAATAAGTAACTAAATAATAAATTAACTAATTAACTAAATTAACTAAATAATAAACAAAAGAAATATCTAAATAGAAACAAGAGGTTTTGGTAACTGCGTGCATGCTTTGGAAGAAATTAGATTCTCGTAGAATTAATATATTAATATATCAATGTAATAATATATAAATATTACATATATTATATTTGGCATATCATATTTTATTATATACCATATGCAATATACTGAATATTAATGTAGCAGTCTAATTAATAAATTAATATAAATTATATTAATATAAATTAAATTTTTATCATGACGGCGTATTAAAGGAAATGCTACCTTCTAACACTCACAAATTGAGTTTTGAGGGGTTTATTTAAGTGCTGTTTTTAGGCATCATGGGCAGCACTCACCGTGAGCCTCCTCTTGACGTAGCGGATGACCAGGAAGGTGTCGTGGGGCAAGTTCCTCACCATGGCCGTGCAGCCCCCCAGCTCCGTGGGGCGTCCATCCCGGTCGTGGTCGTAGGTCAGGGAGCCATTGTTCACCATGGCTGAGATGTAGGGGAACACCCGCTGCCAGGGGGACAGGGGGTGAGTTTGGGGTCTGACAAGGGAGTCTGGACCCCAGAGCATCTCCAAAGGCAAGAATCGCAGCAGCCCCCTGGACCTGAACTTGTTCAACCCCAAGGATCTGCTCCACAAGACATCAGGACTACGCTGCTCCATCCCTGACCCCGAACTCCACCCCAACCATCTGCCTCAACATGACTCCACTCCACCCCTGACCCCAAATTCCTTCACTCCCCAAGAATCTGCCTCAACAATCACCAGCATGGTCCTGCTCCATCCCTGACCCCGAACTCCACCCCCACCAAATTCCTTCATCCCAAATAACCTTCTCCACACAACACCATCACAACCCTGCTCCA